ATGGAAAAGAATATTAAAAACTAATCCATAAATATGTATAACTGAGTACCATGCTGTACATCAGAAATTAACACAACATTTTAAATCAACTATACTTCACTTAAATAAAAAAAAAGATGACACAGTATATCCAGTTAGCCTATCCCCAAACGCCAAGCCAACTTTGGGTTCTATACTTATTTCCTTGTTCCTTCTCACCCTAAATGAGGTTGACTATGTGGCTACAGCAGGATAGATATTTTCTATTTTTTCTTTCCCATGTTCTTTATCCTTTCTCCTATAAGAGCTCCCTGCCTTCCGCCCCATTTGTCAGTTCCTGGAAATGAGACCAGCTGCTTCATGAAGTATTATATAAAGCATGCACGTATGTGCTCAGTCACTCAGTAACGTCCAGCTCTTCACAATTCCCTGGACGGGAGCCCTCCAGGCTCCTCTGTCCATGGGATTCTCAAGGCCAGAATACTGGAGTGGGCTGCCATGCCCTTCTCCAGGGGATCTTCCTGACACAGGGGTTGAACCCCATCTCCTTGTCCCCTGCATTGGCAAGCAGATTCTTTACCACTGGACCACCTGGGAAGGCCATTATATAAAGCGTGCACATCTAAGTTGTTGTCATGTTTTTTTTTAACGGTTTCCTCAGTGTGAGTATGCTCTACTTTGAAGAAAAATATTGTTAGTGAGTAAATATGAAATATAAATTTTTTTGGTAACTTATACTTCAATTTCTTCATTATTTTAAGTGCCTTTTCATATTCATAGAGTATTCATTTAAGTTTAAAACACTTTTTAAGTATGAAAAATGTGGCCAAGGATTTGGAGAGTATAATTAACTGAATAGAGAATATCTAATTAATTATAACCCACAAGCTATAGATTTTCTTCTCCATAGTCTGCTCATCACACACACACACACACACACACACACACAGAAACAGAAGACAATCATAGCTAGGTTTTAATTTTTATATATAATTATGATGTGAAGATTATTATTCCCTGTGGTGAATTACTTTTAAAAATGTGCCTGTATATTTAATTTTAGCACACTTAAGTTATTTGAAAGATAGTATATCTATATAACTGTATAAACACAAACATAGTAGCATTTGAAAATAGCTAAAAATGGAAGAGATTATCTTTGTGAACCCTTATTATATAGATGAGAAAACAGGAATAAGAAACTTAAGGTCTAAGCCAAACTTCAATTTTCAAACACTTAGACCAGTGTCTTTTTCTAAGCAAAGGTCACTGGTAACAATGATATGTGCTTGATCTCAGACATTTGTAGACACTTCACATTCTAAGTCACTTAGTTCAGTTCAGTTCAGTTGCTCAGTTGTGTCCGACTCTTTGCAACCCCATGAACTGCAGCATGCCAGGCCTCCCTGTCCATCACCAACTTCTGGAGTTTACCCCAACTCATATCCATTGAGTCGGTGATGCCATCCAACCATCTCATCCTCTGTCATCCCCTTCTCCTCCTGCCTTCAATCTTTCCAAACATCAGGGTCTTTTCCAATGAGTCAGCTCTTTGCATCAGGTGGCCAAAATATTGGAGTTTCAGCTTTAGCATCAGTCCTTCCAAAGAATACCCAGGACTAATTTCCTTTAGGATGGACTGATTGGAAGTCACTTAACTTCTCTTCTAATTTACAAAGTAATCCTCCTAACACAATGAGAACTTAAAACAGCACAAATTATTCAAAGAATGGTATAAATATTATTTGTGTATTAATTAAGGTTAGCAATACAGTGTATCTTTGATTGAAAGGAAATGTAAAGTTTAAATGCCTAAATTAAAGATGGAGGCATCAATATTAAAAACCGTGGAGACTGTGGATATCATGACAGGCTGAAGAGTAAAATTCTCTCACAGCTCACTGAGCACTGAGGCGCTTTAGCTATTACTTGGGGTGCCAGGAGACATACTTGGATCACCTCTCCTGTTCCTGCTCCCATCCCCCAGCTACTGTGCGTTTTGTTTTTAAAGGCTTATGACTTCCATCTACTTTAGACACCTAAACTTGGGCTAGTGGAACCAGAGTGGAGAACCAGAAGCGCCTATGACTTTTTTCTGAATACCACATCTATATGTCCATTCAAACCTGTCGTCAGTGATTGACTGAAGCCTGAGTATGGAAGCTCAGCTTCTTGTCACCATAGAATGAACTCTGAGATGTAATTTAGATGCAAGACCTCCCCTTGCTCACTCTGAATTTGATCGACATCTTCTTCAGAGTCCTGTTTCCCCGCTGTCTTACCAGTATTCCTAGGAGGTTTCTTAATTAATCACTTGTACACAAATTCCCATCTCAGAGTTTGTCTTTGAGCAACTGGATCTAAGACAACTACTAAAGCTATTTAGGATCTACCCATTCTACTATCTATCTATCTATCCATTTATCCATCCATATTTATCTATATTTGCTACCTTGCTCTCTCTTTCTTGCCTCTATCTATGTACTTCCACCCCTCATCCCATTCTAACAAAATAAATAACCCATAAAATGCATGTTTCCATTCCATATTCTATATATTAATATAATCATACAAAAATACAAATTTATGGGTGAATATCTGTGTTCCCCAAATAGGTTCATTTGCACCTGTTCTGCTTTCTATCTTATTCCTCTTACTGAACAATATTTAGATTCCTAATAAAGAATGATATTAGCAATTTTAACTAAGAGTTCTAATGTAAGTTACCCTACTTATAAGCTTTATAAAAATAATTCTTGGGAAGAGAAACTGTTATGGTAAGAACCTGCAGTCATAGTTGGGAAAAATTTTGATACTGTCAATCTGAGAGTTTTGATATTCTAACATTTTGACTGGTTGCCAATATTTTATATATTTATATATGGAGGCATCATGATTATTATTTAGTTTGTATATAATTCCTATGCTCTGATTCTATATTGTATTATATATAGGCCAAATATTTCTTTAATGATTCCTTGAAAGTGAAAAGTGAAGTTGCTCAGTCGTGTCCGACTCTTTGCGACACCATGGACTGTAGCCTATCAGGCTTCTCCATCCATGGGATTTTCCAGGCAAGAGTACTGTAGTGTGTTGCCATTTTGATATTTAATACTGAATTTGTATACTCTTCATCTTTAGATCTGTTTATAATTAATATTTACAACACACTAGAAGGGTTGATATCCTTATTTTCCTTTTGTAAATATGAAGTCTGATTAGGGAGATTAACAGACTTTTCCTGACCACAAGCATTAGAGTCAGAGTCAGAACATGAATTAGGAATCCTTGGCTTCCAACTCCACATTTAATTCATTAGCAAAGGATCATTGCCATTTTCTTATAAAATAAACTCCTTTGTAATATTATTTATTCTATTATTAAAACATGGATATTATGTCAGTAGCCATCTCTCAGGATATTATTAAAGTTCCAATTGGATGAATATGGTTCATTTCTTATGGAATCAGCACAATTTTTCTTTAACTGGAAATATTATAAGTTATTTTCATCTTCAGGCATATGGAGCAAAAATGACTATACAATAAGAGTCATCATCTGTGTATGAAATATTACCTTTATAATACAAGACAAATAGTTTTATTCTGAAAATTTCCTTAAGAATGTGTACATTCCTTTTTAAATAAACTGAATTATTTGAGTATATGAAGATATATTTAAATTAATGGACAGAAAAATATGAATATTCCTGTGACAGGATGCCATAGGTTGTAACATTTGGAAGGACAGACCAACAGGATTTCTGAGCACATGCTGGCCAGGCCAATGTACAGAATTTATAATCTAGTTAAACTAAGTAAATTCCTCCTTTCTTAGACTATGGATTTTTCCATGTCAGTCAATAATAATGATAGCTTTCACTGACTACATAATTCTGAAATTATTAGATATAATCATGCTATTGAGTTACTTCTTCCCTTTTCAAGCTTACATTTGCTCAGAAGCAGTAGAGTAGAAAAATATAGAGTTCTATTCCTCTTCTTTTTATACTGTTCATGGGGGTTCTCAAGGCAAAAATACTGAAGTGGTTTGCCATTCCCTTCTGCAGTGGACACGTTTTGTCAGAATTCTCCACCATTTCTCTTTTCGCCCTGCGTTTCATCATAGGGAACCTAAATTTATTTGTGATGTTCCTCTGCTTCTAAGTGACAGAAATATAAGTCCTTTTTTATTTTAAGATATCACTGGGAATTATATAAATTTTTACATAATATTTTTAAATGTAATGCTCACTTTATCAATAGTCTAGATTAGTATCAGCCCACTGGGACATATTATCAGAATTGACTCTATGTCTGCCTTAACATCTATAGCAATGATATCAGAACGGTGAGGGATGTGGAGAAAGCATAAAGAAAGAAGACATGTGAATATCATAAAATTAAGGAAGTATATAATTTTGGAAAACATAGTAATTGAGAACAATCTTAATGACAGAAATGGAAATTAAAGTTAAGAGTTGATTTATTAACCAGATTTATCTTGCTACCTTATAAAACAGCTGATCTCAGTGGAAAGACAATTTTAAATTCATCAGCTATTTTCACTTATACCTTAAATCACACTTTGCCAATTTTAGCAGACTATAACTTTAAATTCATTGGCAAGGATATGGCCCACATGAACTTGTTTTAGATTATGGTAATTCCATTTTGCTATTTTTTCTGAAGTGAGTCTTAGAAATAACAATATATTCATTACACTGTAAGTTGATGAATACAATCTCTCACTATATTGTAAAACTCTCCTTAGAGTAAGTGAAGATAGAAACGTACATCCTGTGTCTTCTACCTCAATCTGATATAAAACAAGACTAATTAATTAAGAAATTATGAGCACTATAGTATACTGGAGAATATTTAAAGACATAGTAGGTAAGAAGTTAGGCCCAAAAGAACAGGTTTGAAAGTAAATAATATTCTAGAACAATATACTTAATATATATATATATGCATATATATGTATATGTACATTTTGAGGAAGCTCCAAATAAGACCTACTTTCTCATAGTACTTGATCTCGTAGTCCAGTATGGCTCCATTGGAAAAAGCAGGGGCTTGCCATGATAGGGCAATGCTATTCTGGGATGCCCAGTCCTTTCTTACCATACCTATCAGGGAAGGTGCTGAAAAGAAAGAAAACAACTAAGAATTAATTGGCAGGAATCATTCTCCACAATGCTTTCTTTAATACTTTGTCTCCCAAGGAAAACACAATTCTTGTTGAAGAGGACACCAATTATTGATGTCAGATTAATATGATAATCTGGATCTACTTTATTCAATCCAAATGAAATATTAAAATTTATTTAGAAACTGATGACTCAGTGGTAGAGAATTTTGCCTGCAGTCCAGGAGCTGCAGGAGATGCAGGTTCGATCCCTGAGTTAGAAAGATCCCCTGGGTTAGAAAGATCCCCTGGAGAAGGGCATGGCAATTCACTCCAGCATTCTTGCCTGCAGAATCCCATGGACAGAGCAGCCCTGTGGGCTACAGTCTAGGGGTCACAAAGAATCACCCACAACTGAAGCAACTCGGCTTGCAGGCATGCAGAAACAAATCAGGGAACAAAGGGAAAACTCAGCCCAAGAATAAGGACCACAACTCATCATCTCTGATTCTGTTAGAGGACAACATTTTTCCTAAAACTGGCTTTGGTTTGGGGCTATAAGATGAAATATAATAGACTTGACTTCTATATTTTCTCAAAATTAAGACTACTACAGAAAACCCTCTGCAATTACATGATCATTTATAGGCTTTCTTTCCTTCAAGACTTGGTACTTTATGAAGTTTCAGTACTTTATAGAAGTTACATCACAAACTTAACTACAGTACATTTTGGCTTATCAATGAAAGGATCATTTCTTTGGCAAGATTTCTACAACTTTTGACCAAAACTGAAATATTTAATTTATGAAGTTTATTTTGAATCATGTCTGTCTTCTTTTTCTATATAACATTATCTTAACAATCCAATCCTAACCTAAAGTAATCTTATATACACTGAAGGTTTTTTTTTTCTAACAAAATACTTCTCACCTCTAAATACTCAAATTACTTACAAAAGGAATTTTTACACAGAGAACTAAAATTCAGTCTTAAAAATACAAACTAAATATACTGAGATACCATTTCTCATCTTAAAATGGCAAAAAATCAAAAAACTTGACACCAGGCTCTGTTGGCTAGACTGTGAGGAAAAGACTTTAATACATTGTTGGTGTAAATGTAAAATGGCATAATCCTTATAAGGGGAAATCTAACAATTTAAGGCAAATTATAAGTTCATTTACACTTTGGCTTTTGGGAATCTATTGAAAGAGACACTAGACAAATACAAAGTGACATATTTACAAGACTACTTGCTAAAATTTATTTGTAAAGCCTGGAAACAATTTAAGTGCCCATCAATTAGGGATTGGTTTAAAAAACTATGCTACATTCACCAGAGAATTATGAAACTGTATAAAGGAATTGTGACCCTCTATAAATACTAGAATTAATTTATTTCAGGATTTACTTTTAAATGAAAAAAGTGAGGTGGAGAAAAATGTATTAAAAAAAAGTCTAAGGATATATCTAAGAATAAAAACTAGTAACAATGGTTACCCTTAGAGGATGGGAGGCTAGGATGGTCACTACAGGGTTAGAAGAAAATCATCTCTGAATATAAATAATAAAAATACAAATGAACATCGAAAGAGCAATCTCAAAAGATTAAAAGAAAGAAATCTGTGTATTGAGTTGAAAGCATAGCCTCTGAAAGGAACTACTTAAAATGACATTAAATGACAGTTAGTTAACCTACATCCCCATGGGACATATTCTAAGTATTACAAAAAAAAACTGAAAAAATTATTGAACTATTTTTAGTAATGATATTGCAAGTGGTATTACTGGTATTGTAATGCTGAATGTGTGTGTGTGTGTGTATTAAGAGACAAATCAAATGAGTAATTACATTGGTGTTATTGAGAACTAGGATTTTTTTTTCCCTATGGGAAAATAGAGATACAGATGTCAGACCAATGAAGGTAAGTAAAAACCTTATCCTAGTAAACCTGAATTAGAAGTATGATTATGAACTCATGTATCTTTCCACTTCATTTTCAGAAATTTCCAGACCAATGAAGCTAAGTAAAAACCCTATACGAGTAAACTTGAATTAGTATGATTATGAACTCATGTATCTTTTCAGTTCATTTTCAAAAATCCATTCACATGTACTAAATGCAGTTGAAAATAGGATTTGAAGAAACTGATTCTCTATGATCAAGATGAAATTTTTTTAGTTTCTAAGAGAGACTCAAGTATTAAATGTGGTAATTTACTTTCCAAAGTTGTCTTTGTATCTTAAGGATAAACTACTTTCTTAAATCTGTGAGAATGACAGTTTGGTTCTCATAAGAAATTAAGTGCTTTAGAAACTACATTTGAAACTCTTTCTAGCTGCTTAACGACAGTATTATTGCTGTGCTAAGATATTTTCTTAAAATGAATGATAATTATAGGAATTGCTAAGAAATAGAAGAGTTTGTGCCATAAGCTAAAATAGAAATATATAAAATGGTAAATAAGAAAATGTTCTGACAATTCACTATGTATATTGAGTCATATTCACTACTAATAAACTACCATTAGTCAATTAATGGTATTAATTCCTGCTGAAAAATGCATTAATGTTCTTGGAATTATAGTATAATAATGGATTAAATGGTGCTTTATGGAAAAACTAAAACTTTAATGTGAATAATACAAATTAGAAGTTGACTAACATATATAAAAGTATATCAATTCATTACTAGTTTTGAAAATGTTCTTTTCATGTATACAATGTTATGGTTAATTTTCAGTTTAATGTACAATATCACAAAGCAGTATTATCAATGTATTATATTTTGTCTCATAATTATTTAGCACTCAAGTTCAAATGATACAATCCTTACAAAACCTATAAGAAATTCAATTATGCCAACAGCATTTTAGAATGACTATTGGTTAAAATATAGGTACCATCTTTCCCATTTCCAGCTTTTCAATGGTTGTTTAATTGTACAGACACATCACCTAAATTATATGAATCCTCTTATATATTTTTCTAAAATAGAAAATTAAGAGAATCTTTTCTCTAACTACATAGATTCTTCACTTATAAATGGACTTCAAGGTCTATGATCTATATAAAATCTAGAATCTCTTCACTTTTGCACATCCCTTTCATATGTAAACATCTATGTTTTAAACAGTTGCTAAATATACATAATTCTAGATAATTCTATTTTAAACCAATATTCTAAATCCTACTGTATATTTTAAAATAGTTTCCACAATTTTTACTTTAATGGCTAATATTCATTGTGTTGCTACTTTATCAAGTCATTCCTCTAACATTGGATGTTGAGGTTTAAAATATTGTTTTGTCAGAATTCTGACATTTTATGTACAAACACTCTATGCATAAATTTCGATTTTGTTAAAATTATTTTAGAGAGAAAATTGCTTCATATGATTTAGATTTTGTGTCGTACTATTATTACCATAGTGCTTTTGAAAAAAGCTCTATCAATATTACTAATTGTACATTTTAAACCCTTAATGAGTTGGAAAGCAGAGAATGTAGAAAACAATTTATAGGTCAATATACCTCAAATGCTGCATCTTACACTTTCAGAAAAGAACAACATTACACATAATTTCATTTTAAAATAAGGTTTCAATACATGAAGCCTAAAGCATTTGCTTTGAATATATCTAATGAATTTGTCTTAATAAGTCAAGTCTACATAGCATCTGAATTGGCATATTGTGAAAAGTCTGCAGTACCAACTAATACAAAGCAGAAAATATGTTTATTCCTCTATATGAGAAAAACTGATTTTAGGACACAAAAGGGCAACTATTGATCTTTACTTCTGATTCTAAAAAGTTAGAGAAGGAAAGAAATAGTCAGGGAAATAATATCTCCTGGAGTCTGTCAGATCAGAGGCTAACTGAAAGATGTGAAGACGCAAGCAATGTTTCCTGAGTAACAATTACCTATTCAGTATAGCCTTCAGCAGAATCGTGTTTCTGATATACATCCTTTCTTGAGTCTTCAAAAATCTTAGCTTTGACCTTCAATATAAATGACTGATGAATAGATTACCACATTCTTGAAAATGGTTTTCATACAAAACCTTTTGATTACTACATTTTTTGAATCTCAAGCAGTTTACCAAAAACTATGTAACAAAAAATGAAAATAAAAGTATGAAGGGAGTTAGTTCTAACAAAAGAGATCTTACTCACACTTAGAAAAGTTTTGCTTTCTTATGCTTATATGGAGACACCTAAAGAAACAGTGAATTATTCTAGTTAAGTATTTTGCTCTTAATTGAGTTAATCATTTTTTATTAAATGTTTATATTATGTATGTTATCTTATTACATTGTCATAAATCTATGGGGAAGAAATTGCTTCCATAAGATGATGACATTGAGGCTCAGAGAAGTGAGCAATTGTTTAATGATAAAAGAGAAGGCCAATTTTGACATTAATGCAGAATGGCAAGAAAGAAGTGGAAAATTTAACATTTTTGCTATACTTTCTCAAAATTAATTCTATTCAGTATTGTAAATACCTGCTCAAAACTAGAAGAAATGAGGCAATGTTACAAGTATCCTTGTTGTCTTCGAGTTGATTATTTCTTGAAATTTTAAAAGATCAAACATTAATACTACTGTTCAGAATTATACTGTTGTTGGTCAGTCAGTCGTGTCCAACTCTTTGTGACCCCATGGACTACAGCACATCAGGCTTCCACATCCTTCTTTACATCCCTGAGTTTTCACAAACTCATGTTCATTAAGTCAGTGACGCCATCCAACCATCTCATCCTCTTTTACCCCCTTCTCCTCCTGCCCTCAATCAAATTACATTGTGGATTATCACAAATATGTCTTATTTTTAGCATGTAATCAAGATTTACACCATGGGTCATGGGGTGTTTTCCTAAAGATCAAACAATTGCTAATTCTCAGTCATCTATTGAGTATACTGGGTAAATGAAGGCTTATTTATTGGGATACGCTTACCTGCATGAGTGTGTGTGTGTGTTTAGACGAAAAAGAGAG